CGTCGCCGCCTCGTCGCCCGCCGTCTGCGCCGGGATGCCCGTCTGGCTGCGTCGTGGTCGCCGTCGCCGCCCCGTCGCCGCCCGTCGTCTGGACCTGCCGCCCCGTCGCCGCCTCGTCGCCGCCCGTCGTCTGGACTTGGCTGCCCGCGCGGTTGCTCCTCGCCTCGCCGCCGCGTCTCAGCCTCGTCGCCGCCCGTCGTCTGGGCCTGGCCGCTGGTCTCGCAGTTCCGCGGTCGCACCGTCGTCGCCCCGTCGCCGCCCGTCGGCTGGGCACGGCTGCCCGCCTGGCCGCTCCGTGGTCGTCGCCGCCATTTCGCCGCCTCGTCGCCGCCCGTCGTCTGGGCCCAGCTGCTCGCCCGGCGGTTCCGCGGTCGCCGTCGCCACCTAGAGAGCACCACACAGATGGCACCACATATGCTGCGCAACATGGATTCCACCACTCAGTCGGAAGGATGTCGCAATCGAGTTCCCAAAAAAACATACAAAAACACAGGGTTTCGCAACACTGATTTGCTACAAAAACTTACCCGCGAGCTCTTGCGAAATCTTCAGAAAACCATAGGCTTTTCAACATGTACACAAAATGCTACCAAACGGGCTTCGCGCGCGCACATGTCGAAATCTGTCGAACGCCCTTGCGCGTGTGCCGACGCGGGACTCCTTTGCAAAAAATGGGACGAAGTGCAGATGCGCGCGTCGTCGCGCGCGTATGCCGAAATCCTTCAAAGTCCATCGGTTTCGGAAGGATTTCAAAATCGTGTGTCCAAAGAACGTACAAACACACAAGGTTTCGCAATACCGATTTTCAACAAAAGCGCGCGCGCGCGCTCTTGCGTCGTCGTCGTCGTGGTCGTCGTCGTCGTCGCCGTCCTCCCTCCTCCCGCGTCGTCGTCGTCGTCGCCGACGTCGGCCTCTGTCTTTCCTCGTGTTCGTCGTCGTCGTCCTCTTTGACGTCGTGGTCGTTTCCATCGTCGTTGTCGCCGTTGTCGTCGTTTCCTCTTCCCTCGACGTCCTCGTCCGTCGTCGGCGTCTCGTCGTCGACCCTCCTATTTCGTCGCCGTCGTCGTCGTCGTCGTCGTCTTCCCTCCTCCCTCGTCGTTGTCGTCGTCGGCGTCGCCGTCCTCCCTCCTTCTTCGTCGTTCGCGTCGTCGCCGTCCTCCCTCCTCCCTCGTCGTTGTCGTCGTTGTCGCCGTCGTCGTCCTCCCTCCTCCCTCGTCGTCGTCGTCGTTGTCGCCGTTGTCGTCGTCGTCGGCGTTGTCATCGTCGTCGTCGTCGGAGTCGTCGTCGGCGTCGGCGTCGTCGTTGTCGCCGTGGTCGTCGTCGTCGTCGGCGGCGTTGGCATCGTCGTCATCGTCGGCGTCGTCGTCGTCGGTGTCGTCGTCGTCGTTGTCGTCGGTGTCGTCGTAGTCGGTGTCGGCGGCGCCGTCGTCGTCGTCGTCGTCGTCGGCGTCGGTGTCGTGGCCAAGTGCTATATGGTACCTACCGTTACGGTCTTGTCGTAAAAGGTCTTGCGACCAAGTTGAGGGTGGGAGGGTGGGATGTTTGCACGAGCAGTAAAGAAGACAGCTTCAAGACGGTGAAAGTAAATTTCACCACTTACGTTGCACCACCCACATTGCACAACATCGTTTGACAACTTAGATCGCACCAAATAGATTGGACCACATGTGCTTCTCCACGTAGATTGCACCACCTCAACTACACAACGCAGCTTGCACGACCCGGACTGCGCCGCATGGCTTGCACCACTCCAAGTGCACCCTTCAGCTCGCACCACATAAGCTGCAGAGCCTAGATTGCGCAGCGTAGGCCGCGCCACATAGTTTGCACGACGTAGATTGCACCATACATTTCGCGCATAATACTACACTACGCAATCACCACCACACACATTGCATATTATTGAATGCATCACGTAGATTGCACACAAAATATAGTTTCCACACGCGCACATCGATTAATATATAGGTAGAATGCGCTGTATGGGACCCCCGCTAACTAACGCACGTGTGACATATGTGATTATATATTGCCATACACATATACATACTAGAAGCACGCGCTTCGCGCGCGCCTAGGTTCTAATTGGGGTCCCGGCAATTTGCGACGTACGGAACATAATGGCTGCGAACCTCATCGAAGCTCGTCCTCGTCCTCGCGAGCGTCCTCGTCGTCGCCCCTGTAATTTGTTCCTCTTTCTCCTCCTCCTCCTCGGCCCCTGTCTGACACTGACACTGGACGCTGGCCCCCTGGACCACTGGACCTTACCCCTCCCGTTGCGCATTCTTACCAGCATCTCGAATCAAATCCAGGCGCGGCGACAAAGGCTCCGTAGGAAGGGCAGCGGTATCAATATCTGCCTCTGCTGACGACCTTCTTCCACACGGGGCAACGGGAGCGGCGCGGCGGCGATGAGCAGCCGCCAGAGTGGCCAAGGCTGGGCGACGCCAGCGGCGGGGGGCGGCGCAGGTCAGTTCGCACTGCGACTGTGCTCCGGGAGTCGCGCGGCCCCCCGCGCGGGCGCGAGGTGTTCTCATCATCTTCATGATGACCGTCGCCATCATAGTCCTCATCGTCCTACTCGTCATCGTCATCGCCATCGCCATCTTCATCGTAAGTTCACGTGCTCGGGAAATTGCGTCTCCAGAACACGCGAACTGGGGTCTGGCGGGCATGTCCAGCACCATCATCATCATCATCATCATCATCATCATCATCATCATCATCATCACCATCATCACCATCATCACCATCACCATCACCATCATCACCATCATCACCATCACCATCATCATCATCATCATCATCATCATCATCATCATCATCATCATCATCGTCATCGTCATCGTCATCGTCATCAACAACAGCATCGCCATCATCATGATCACCGTCATCATCATTAACAAAATCATGATCATCGTCATCTTCATCGTCATCATGGTCGAGATCATTTCCGTCCGTCATGTAAATGTTGTGAGTCGTCATGTGGGGCTCTGGGCGTGAGTGGGCTTCCAGGGGGGGTCTTGGGGCCCCATGGGAGCTGTCTTGGCAGCCTCGCGAGCCCTCTTGAGCAGTCGTGGGGTCCTCTTTGGTTGTCTCGGGGCCCTCTTGGGCCCTCTTGAAGCGTTCTTGGGAAGGTTGCAAGGGGCTGTCGGGGCGTCTCCGACGCACCCCAAGTTTTTCGGAGGCTGTCCTTTGCGTATTGGGTCGTCATTTTGGCGAGGAAAGCCTCTCTGGACCATTCTTGACATGGAAGCCGCCGTGATACCCCCCAGACTTCTCCATATCTCCCAGAGCGAGCAAGATAACGGAGCAGGAGACGCCGACGACAACGACGACGGCGCCGCCGCGCTGGGACGCAGGGAGGAGTGCGGGCTGGAGGGTCAGAGGGCCGAAGAGAAATGGTGAGTGGGGGAAGTCGTGGTACGCGAGGACTTCAGAGATGGTAGCTGTGTCATTGACGGTGCCATGCAGCATCATCTTGCAGGTTGAGGCATCTCCCACATGTCGCCAGAAGGAGAACTCCTAGGCAGACTCTACAGTGGAGTGAGAGATGTGTTTCCACAGACTTCACCAGCGGGGGAGCGTGTTGCAGCACTCGCAGTAACTACTCCTCTCCCGGGAGCAGCCATTGCATATATACAGGTTATTTGAAGGTCTCTGAAACACACAAACCTGGCAGAAGAGCCTGCATCAGAAGAACTTTGTGGGTCTCAAACTATTAATCGGCGGTGGGCAGACCTCCCTTTAGTAAACCACCCTTTAGTGAAAACGGCCTGGGACCGAAACCGACGGACCTGGACCCGTAAGAATCACGGCCGCGACGCCCTCTCGCGAACCGCAAACGGCCAATTCGCTAATCGACGTGTCAGGGTGGGAGGTCTGTCCACCCCCGAATTAATGCGGGGTAGAGCACATGAAGGCTTCCAGATAAGGTCAAGGCCGGCGTCAATTCTGTGTCACTCGAGCGCTTGATTTAGCAGCTATGTTAGGCGCTAGGTTGCACGACGGTCCCAGCGATTCTAAAGTCGAGAGTTGGGACTCCCAAGCAAAGCGCTCAGCAGGTATCTGCAAATTGTACCCCGTGTCCTAGAATTGTTCTCCCGACCTCCGAAAGGGAAGTTAGAGCGGGTCAGGCCAGCGGTATCACGGGGAAGTGCAGACATATGTGATGCACTCGGCCCTCACGCCTTGAGCATATCCAAGATAAGCTCAGGATTCAGGGGACAGTGGATGGTGCTCGTGCAGATCAGGAGCAATCCTTCCCTCCACCTCCTCCTCCACCGCCCGTAGCTCCTCAGGCCGTTGGGGATGGCCCCAACCTCCACGAATGGAGGTGGAGTCCACAAGGATACTGAACCTGCCTCAACTGCAAGCGGGTGTCATGGGCCTCCCCTAGTTCGCGCAGCTTGCATTATCATCAGCGGAGCCAGGGGTCAGCTGCTGGATCGAGAGGCTGGCACGGCTTACATTCACCCGAAGCGAAGGTCAAAAAAGAGCTTCCTCCTCCTCCTCCTCCTCCTCCTCCTTCTCCTCCTCCCGCCTCCTCCCGCCTTCTCCCTCCTACTCCTCCTCCCTCCTTCCTCCTCCTCATCCTCCACCCGCACCCCCGCAGAAACCATCCCTGCATCACTCTCGAGGACTCCCAACTCTCCGCCCGAGGGGAAAGAGGGGAGCGGAGAGGCCGACGAGCACGACGAGGAGGAGGAGGAGGAGGAGAGGGAGGGGGCGGGGCCGGGACGCGACGTGGGCGCGCGGGGAGCCCTGGGGAGCAGGATCCCCACGCCAAGACGAAGCCAGGACGAGGATCACATCGGGAGAGGATACATCGAGAACCTCTGAGATCCGGCGGCTCCACGGAGGACGCCTCGGGCGCCGCGGCCTTCTCAGAGCGCCCGGCAGCGCTCGGAGAGCGCCCCACGAGCGCCCTGGAGCAGATCTGTCCCCACGCCTCTGTCTGGCCGGGGGCCGGCCTCGGCCTGCCCCCGGGCCCGCGCCACCGCCGGGAGGCGTGCGGCCAGCAGCAGGGCCGCTACGGCCGGCAGCGCCACGGGCCACGGCGGGCGAGGGGCGTCGACATGGAGTCCCATCGCGCCGCGAAGGCCGGGGCCGGACGGGCAGGGACGGGAGCGGCCTCGCCGGGCACGGCCACCCGCGCCGAGCCGGCCTGGGGGGGGCTCTCGGCCACGAGCACCGCTCGACGTGCTCGCCGTTGGGTCTCACACGACGGACCCCAAATCACTCCACGGGTGGTCCCCAAGAGGTCCCCCAACACGGCACCGGCCGTCGGGCCTGCCCGATCGTTGGGTCTCACACGGCGGATCACAGATCACTCCACGAGGTCCCGAAGAGGCCCGGGCCGGCACTGGACGTCAGGCCTTCCCGATCATTGGGTCTCGCACGGCGGATCCCAACGTTTGATCAAGCACACTCTGGCCCGCAGAAAAGGACTCCACACAACCCGGACCAGGACCCCGGCGGCTCACCTTCGTGCCCCCACGGCGCGATCAAGGCAGGCGCCCACTTCTGTCAGACTGGGGGGCTGGGGGTGTGAGGGCTGCTGCGGGGCGCCAGCTCCAAGCATGTGGTTTCGTATGTCGTCTGGCGTATACACTCGTGCAGAGCCGTGCTCGAAATTCGATGGACCCGGACCCTGTCTCCCCAACCAGGCTTTACCAAAAAAGGGCCGGAAGAACCCTTCTGCTCAAGCAAGCCAGTAGCCGTGGCCAGACCCGGGCCTTGGCCCGTGAGATTATTAGGAAAATCGTCGGGGGGTCCTTGCGAAACCCTCGGGCCCCTGGGGCTCCGTATGCTTCCTGGGCTCGTTAGATTCCTGCGCCGACATGGCCATGACGCCATGATACCGGGAATTATGATATGCTGTTGCGCTACGTCATACGGGAACCAAGCTTGTTTGGGTTGCGTGGGATCCCCCGTTTCATCGGGTTGCTGCCGCCTGGGATACTTGCAATGCTGGAGTAAATGCCAGCGCGATGGATTCTACAATACTGGTGTGGATCTTACGCTGTGCAACGGGGCGCTAGAATAATGGCGATGACAATTGCGACTTTATGCACACGGTGTGCAGACTATGTCGCGCTGCACAATGCAACAGTTGGGTGCGAGTGTTCATCCTACTACGATGGACAGCGTAGTGTGATACGGTGCCGATATTTCAGATTCAACGGTGTGCGACGTGTTGCTACGATGGGTAAACACAGACGGTCTACTGTGATATGCCACACCACGATGACACCGTGGCAGGATATGTCACGAATTGGGTATTATTGTAGCAGTGCGCCACGCTCTGAACGTCTACGTGAAGTTGGTGCATAGTGCACAGACCTACGATGCCACAGTATGTCTTGTGGCGTGGTATCCTGTGGTATGCTGAGTAAGTATGAGCATGCTACGATCTGCTCTGCAACAAATGTCATGGTATGATAAGGTTATGACACACTGAACAAAAAAACTACGCTGTGGCATATAATCCAAAACACAAGCAACGACATTATATGTGTGCGTCCTCCACCACATTAATCCTCCTCTTCCTTCCTCTTTGCCCCCTCCTGTTCCTCATCATCCCTGCTCCTCCTCCTCTTCCTCCTCTTCCTCTCTCCACCCTCCTCCTCCTCTTCCTTCCGTTGCGGGCCCGACCTCGCGCCCACGAGGCAAGGGGCGCCGTCCAGGGCACACCCACCGCCTTCAGCCAATAGCCCTCTCGAGTCACGGCGCCAGACGCGCCGCAGGCGGGCAGCACGAGCGAAACGGGTGGAGTCCCACAAGCTCGTCCCCGAGAAGGTGGGCCCCTTGCCCACTCCAAGGGCCCCGCGACAGTCAAAAAACAGCTCTGGATGAAGAGCTAGTCCTGGGCAGGAAACGCGGGGGTCTGAGGCCAGGACCCCTCCCCTCGACGGCGACAATTGAGCAGGGACCGACCGTCACGGCGTCACTATAGGCCTAGCACGACATCTGAGAACTGAAGAGCGTTCAAAAACCAAAAAACGGTGTTCTCAGAACAGAAAGGCGATGTATTAAACGAAAGCGGCCTCAGCCAGAAATGTTCTGAGAACATCTCGTGCAAAGCACAAAAGGACACCTCGCCAATGCTTGAAGAAGCAAATCTGGATGGAAAGCTGGCCCCGGACAGAAAGCCCCGGGCTCTGGGGCCAGGACACCTCCCCTCAACTCGGCGGCGAGCGAAAGGGGCAAGCGAGACGGAAAACTCAGAAGGTGGGGAGGGTTCTCACAAGCCCACCTGTCTTATGAGAGACTTTCTGTGTCTTCGCGGAAGACTTAAGAGAACTTCTCAGAAGGCCGCAGGACTTCCGAGACTTCTGAGCAGGTCCGCCCCTTCTCACTCCCCCCCTGGGCTCGCCGCCGACAGGAAGCCCCGGGGTCTGGGACCAGGAACCCTCCCCTCAGCGGCGACAAGGGGGGCGAGGAGCGCTCCGTCCGAGACGGCCCGCCCCCGGGAGTGGCGGCCCGGGAGCGGATGAATTGTGCATGGCCAGGAGGCAGAATCCCGACCCCCCCCTCCGCCGCCCAGCCGTGCCGAGCTCGCCTGCAGCATCCCCGTCCTAAGACAAAGCCAGGACGAGGATAAGATCGGGCGAGCACAAATCGGGAATCTCTGAGATCCGGCGGCTCTGGAGGATGTCTCGGGCGCAGCGGCCTTCTCCTCAGAGCGTTCTGGAACGCTCTGGGAGCGTTCCAGAACGCTCTGGAACGGATTGATCTATCCTCGTCCTAGCCCAATCCGAGCCGAGGTCGCTTGAAGCATCCCCTCCCCTTCCTGTGACGGCGCCCGCCGCACGACGGACCCGATCGACGCTCGCTGCCGCGCGTGCGTGCTGGCACGCGCGGGAAGCGCGCGCCGAGCTGGCCTGGCGCACGGCTGGCGTCGCCCAACCTCTCCGCCTGCACCCTCTCCGTCTGTGGGTAAACCAGCAAGTTCCGGCACCGACACTCCACGGACCTCTCCCGGGAGCAGGACGAGCAGCGGCATCGGTATCTCCCCCTTCTCTGAGTCTGCGGCGTCAGCCAGGCACGGGCGCGGTGGCGGGGGGCCCCCGAGGGCAGGGGGGGGTCGAGCTTCTCCCTCCGTGATGGAGTTGTGTACGGTTTGGGCCAGACGTGGCCCTGGCGGCGCGCATATGCTGAGGGAGCGCGGGGACGTGCTAGAGCAGGCGCGAGCGATGGGGCGCCTGCAGGCCCACGCGGAGCTCCCTCCGCTGCCTCCTCGTCCCCGTCCTCGTCCTCGTCCTCGTCCCCCTCGACCACTCCCCATCATCCGCCCAGTCCTCCTCCTCCTCCTCCTCCTCCTCCTCCTCCTCCTCCTCCTCCTTCTCCTTCTCACCACCACCACCACCACCACCACCACCACCACAACCATCATCATCAGCATCATCAGCATCATCAGCATCATCAGCAGCAGCATCATGAGCAGCATCAGCATCATCATCATCATCATCATCATCATCATCATCAGCATCATCATCATCATCATCATCATCATCATCATCATCATCATCATCATCATCATCATCATCATCATCATCATCATCATCATGAGCAGCATCATATTCATCTTCATCGTCATCACCATCATCATGACCTGTTTCTCCATCATCATTAGCATCACCATAACCTTCATCATCCTCATCATCAACATCAGCATAGGCATCATCCTCATCCTCCTCCTCTTCCTCCTCCTCGTCGTCGGCGGCGTCGGCGTCGGCGTCGTCGAAGTCGTCGGCAACAGCATCAATATCAGCATAATCATCAACATCACCATCATCACCATCATCAGCATCATCATCAGCATCAGCATGATCAGCAGCAGCATCAGCATCAGCATCACATACTCAGCATCATTATCAGCAGCATCATCAGCATCATCAGCATCATCAGCATCATCATCATAATCATCAGCATCGTCAACAGCATCATCACGATGATCAGCATCAGCATCATCAGCATCATCAGCAGTATCATCATACTCAGAGTCAGCAGCATCATCATCAGCATCAGCATCATAATAATACTCATGAGCAGCTTCATCATCATGAGCTGCAACATCATCATCATCAGCATCATCATCATCTTCATCAACATCATCATAACCTTCATCATCGTCATCATCATCATCATTGTCAGCATCAGCATCGGCAGCATCATCATCAGCAGCAGCAGCATCAGCATCAGCATCAGCATCAGCATCACATACTCAACATCAGTATCAGCAGCATCAGCAGCATCATCAGCATCATCGTCATAATCATCAGCATCGTCAACAGCATCATCATCACGATTATCAGCATCAGCGTCATCAGCAGTATCATCATATTCATAGTCATCATCATCATGATCATCATCATCATCAGCATCAGCATCAGCATCAGCATCAGAATAATCATCATGAGCAGCTTCATCATCATGAGCTGCACCATCATCAGAAGCAGCATCATATTTATCAACATCATCATAACCTTCATCGTCATCATCATCATCATCAGCATCATCGTCAGCATCAGCATCAGCATCATCCTCATCCTCCTCCTCTTCCTCCTCCTCGTCGTCGGCGGCGTCGGCGTCGGCGTCGTCGAAGTCGTCGGCTTCATCATCATCATCATCATCATCATCATCATCATCATCATTATCACCATCAGAATCAGCAGCATCGCATCAGCATCATCATCATCACCATCATCATCAGCAGCATCAGCATCACCATCATCATCAGCATCATCACTAGCAGTATCAGCATCAGCATCAGCATCATCATCATCGTCATCAGCATCATCATCATCCTCAGCATCATCATCATCATCAGCAGCAGCAGCAGCATCATCATCAGCATCAGCATCATCATAATCATCAGCCTCATCAGCAGAATCAGCACCATCATAGTCATCATCATCATCATCAGCAGCAGCATCAGCATCACAATAAGCACCATACTAATCCATCATGATCAGCATTATCATCATAAGCTGCATCATAATCAGCAGCAGCATCATCATCATCATCACCATCAGCATCATCATCACCGGCATCGTCAGCATTATCAGCATCATCATCAACATCATCGTCGTCACCAGTGTTATCTTCAGCAGCATCAGCATCACAACTATCGTCAGCAGCATGAGCATCATCAGCAGCAGCGTCATCATCATCAGCATCAGCATAATCTTCATCAGCATAAATATCATCATCAGCGTTATTACCAGCAGCGTCATCATCGTCGTCATCATCGTCATCATCATCACCAGCATCGTCATCATCATCAATAGTAGCATCATCATCAACAGCAGCATCAGCATCGGCATCATCAGCAACAACATCATCATTATTATAAATACTGTTTTTCCTCCTCCGTCACGCTGCCGCCAACTCCAACAATCAAGGCAAGCAACACTTCACGGCACGACTGCCGCCTTGACCCGCTGCTGCCTGACCCGCTGCCTGCCGCTGCTAACGCGTCGTGTTGTCTACAGTCCGGCTGCATACCCCCCCATGTCTCGCTCCTCACGCTGTCGTCGCCGACACCGCGGATGCCATCATCCCCGAGCCTGGAGCGGTGCCAAGCCTCTCTTAGAAACTAACTCTGCATCAGCCCAGATCCAACATCGCAAAGCTGATATGTGAAGCTGCAGCGCTACGCACTCTGACGTAAGGCGGAACGGGCAGAACGACTGAACTGATATTCTCGCCCTATCCCGGCCAGCACTTGGCAGACACCGTGCCTCGGACCCCTCCCAGACAGGCGTCCCTGGGCACGTTTCCAGACAGAGCTGCGCGCTACCGCGGGGGCGCGAGCCCCCTCGAGGGCCAGCAGAAGCGAGAGAGCAGTCACTCGGCGCCAAGACAGACCCAGCCATCCGACGATATCTTTTTCCAGCGTGCTGCCCCAAGGTCCCGACCCTATTCCCTGGGACCACCTTTTCGTCCCGGAGCTCTGTCTGATCAAGGGCTCCTAGGTTTGCGCTTCGCGCCGCGCCAAACGCGAATAACTTCGCGCTCTGGCGGCACCCCCCCAGGGGAGAAGAGAAGGAAGAGGAATCGGAGCCGTACCGCGAAGCGCTAATAACGGCGCTATCGAGGGCGCCCTTGCTGATGGTCCTGGGGCCCAGCCATGGCCCAGAAAGGCCAGCATCGAGGAAGCACACTCAGATTGAGAAGTCGACCAGGGACCGACCGTCCCGGCATTTCTATAGGCCTACCACGACATGTTCTTGGAACCCAGAATTGTTCTAAGAACAACAACACTGCTCTTAGAGCATCAAACCGATGTGTTGAAACAAGACAGTCCCAACCAGAAATGTTATGATAGCATTTCGTGGAAACTACAAAAGGTTCTTAGAACACTGTTTGGTAGGCCTATAGGCACGCCAGGACGCTTCGCCACTGCTTGACATCGGCGAGATGCGGCACAACCTTCCGACCCTAGCTGCTCGGACCCCAGCCGACAGGCCTAACAACGACGCGGCGCCCGAGGGAACAGCCCGCCTCGCCTCGCCGGGCGCGAGGCCCACCTGCCCACCCACCACACCACCCCGACCGAGCCCGACGCTCCAGATCTTGAGCTGCAGGGCGCACCGGCTTCACCCTTAAGAGGCAACTACTGGGAGGTCTTCGTCGGAAGGATTAAGGAGGATTAAGCCCCATTGGGGGGCTGCTGGGCCAGAGTGGGCCTCGGATTAAGCAGGATTAACCGGGATTGAACGGGATGAAGCCGGATTCAGCGGGATTAAGCCGGAGTAAGCCGGATTTCAGACCAGGACAAAATTAGAATATGACCTCCCAGGAGATGCATCCGAATCACCCTGTGTTTGTTCAGATGTTTTCGGGGCGCCCCCCCCCCACTGGGAGTGGAGGGCAACTTGGCACTACGCACATACACCGATACGGATTAAGCCCTTCGCTCCCCGGCCCACGCGAAGGGGGGCCCGTGGGCCCAGCAGGGCGCGCGGGACCAGCCGGCCCGCGGAGCGGCGGCCTGGCGGGCGGCGGCCTGGCGGGCGGCGGCCTGGCGAGCGGCGCGGAGCTCGGGGCACCGCGGGGGCCTGGCGGGCGCCCAGGCGTCGGCAACACCGCACGGAGCCTCCCCCCTCCCTCCTCCCTCCCCCCTCCTCCCTCCTTCGTCCTCCCCCCTTCCTCCTCCCTCCACCCTCCTCCCTCCACCGTCCTCCCTCCTCCCTCATCCCTTCCTCCCTCCTCCCGCTCCCGCCTCCCCTCCTCCCTCCTCCTTCCTCCCCCTCCTCCATCCCTCCCTCCTCCCTCCTCCCTCCTCCTCCTGCCTCCTCCTCCCGCCTCCACCCCTCCACCTCCCTCCTTCCGTCTCCCTTCTCCTCCCTCCTCCCTCCTCCCCTCACCGCCTCCCTCCTCCCGCCTCCCTCCTCCTCCTCTTCCCTCCTCCCCTCCTCCTCCTCCTCCTCTCCCTCCTCTCCCTCCCTCCCTCCATCCCCTCCCCCTCCTCCCTCCTAACCTCCGCTCCTCCCTCCACCCTCCTCCCTCCCACCTCCTCCCTCTACCCTCCTCCTCCCTCCGTCCTCCCTCCCCTCCCTCCTCCCACCACCCTCCTCCCTCTCCCTCGTCCTCATCCCCCTTCTTCCATCCTCTCTTCTCTCCCTTCTCCTTCCTCCCTCCTCCTCCTCCTCCCTCCTCCTATCCACGTCCTTCTTTCTCCCTCCTTCCTTCTCCCTCTCCTCCCTCCTCCCTCCCCCGCCTCCCTCTCCACCTCCTCCCTCCTCCTCTTTCCCTCCCCACTCCTTCACCCTCTTCCTCCTCCCTCTCCCTCCTCCTCCGTCCCTCCCTCCCTCTTCCCTCTCCTCCATCATCCTCGCCCTCCTCCCTCCTCTCCTCCTCCTCCTCATCCTCCCTCTCCCTCTCCTCCCTCCTCCCTCCTCCTCCCTCCCTCCCTCCTCCCTCTCCCTCCTCCCTCCTCCCTCCTCCTCCTCCCTCCTCCCTCCTCCCTTCCTCCCGTCCTCCCCCCCTTCGCCCTCCTCCCTCCTCCCTCCTCCATCCTCCCTCCCATCCTCCCATCCTCCCGCCTCCCTCCTGTTCCCTCCTCCCTCTCCTCCTCCCTCCTCCTCCTCCTCCTCCTCTCTCCTCCTCCATCCTCACTCCCTCCTCCTCCTCCTCCTCCTCCTCC